TTCTCCTTTGCTTATATAAACATCAATTGTTACATATGTCACTCATAGCCCTCACTGCATTTCCATCATTGCTCCCAATTTAAATTCCCTAGCTATCCTAGACACAAAATAAGTCTCATAGTGTTTATAGTGAAAAGGCCACATAAAAATTAATTGTACTTAACACATCCTTGTTCTCCTTTCTCCTGTCCCTCAAGTGGTGCTCTAGGGTAGTGTTTGTTGCCCTCTACATCTGCCTTCATTCCCTTCTCTAGAAGTCCTTTGACTTTTTTTTTTATATAAATATGAAAATAAACATATACATTATTTGATCTCTAGCAGGCCACTAAAGCATTTGGTGAGCTCACAGCAGAGAAGCTGCTTTTTTTCTCCATTAGGTGCAGTCAGCAGCTTATGCCACAGATGTGGCATCACACTTCTTGTTAGTGTGTGTTAATTCCTCATTATTTACTTTTGGCTTCGCAAAATTCCATTCTTTACAATATTTGTGTAGTCCCTTAAGGGATACCAAACATACTGGGTGAAAATGTTTGTGAATGCCCTGACTGCAGTGGCATATGTTAAACACGTTTCCAAGTGGCACTGCGTGCTGATGCTACAGCCCAGCCCTGTGCCAGGCCCTACTGTCACAGTACAGCCTTGTTTCAGCCGAGTGCTACTGGATGTACCAGAAGAAAGTAACTTAGTCCAAACCCAGGAAGACTGCTGGTATGGTTTTCTGGAGGGTCTTTCATTGTGTACATCCAGAATAGCGTACTTCTTTCTCTAGCGTTTCCTCAGTCTCAAACCCCCAACTCCAGGAAAGCTCTCTCATCCGAGAGATTTTGTTCGCACTGTCTTTGTAGTTCACACTGGAGCTCTGCCAGCTTCCCAACAAGAAAAACCTCTGTTTCTTGGAGGAAGTGAGAAGATTTGCTCTGAGGAGCAGCCATGGCTGTTGCAGACAAGTGAACAAGTCCAAGGAACTGGTCAGTGATGGACAGTCCCTAATGGTTTAGAGGCTAAGATACTAAGCGAAGAATTGTGCCTTGGCTGAAGCAAGACTTTCTTCTGATTTATTGTTGATTTTGTAGTATATGGGGAAAAAATTAAAACCTAATTGTGTTGCTTTAAGCTGCTTGAGGTCAGGCAGGTAGGGGCTATTCTGTGTCTTTGTGCTGTCAGTTACATGTAAGACTTTAGAGTAGCTATTTGAACAAAATAGGAGCTTCATCTGGGAAGAGCTGGTCTATTAAATTAGCAGCTGTAAATGACACAACAGAGTGAATGGAAGAGAATTGTATTTTGTGCTGCCTTTCTTGCCTTTCTCCCTACCCCTGTGCTGCCTCTTATAATACCTTATAATACCCCAGGAGCCCTTCAGTTGCAAATCTACTGCTGGATTTTAACTTGCTTGAGGAACATCAAATTGAGTTCACGTTTTAATCAGATCAGCAATGATGAGGATTAGAGCTACAACATCAGAGTGCCGTCTCACCAGTTATATGCCCCTGCATATCTTCTGTCATTGCTTGAGTTCTGTGCCTTGACTTAAAATTTAGGCTCCCTTTATAGGGAAGCAGTGCAGCTAATGACTGCTTTCCTGTACTAATGAAATGAAATATTAAAATGGATGTGATCAAATGCCATTTGAGTTGCCTGAAGCTTTGCCATGAGATACTTTTGTGAAATAGTATCTTTATTTATCACCTTTAGATTTGCATGTACTCTGACTGTTGCTTGACTAATGTGTTTGTTTTTGTTTTTTTACAATTAACATTTTTTTAATGTTCCTTATAGAGGTAACAGCAGTGAGGATTTTATACCACCTGTCCCTGTAATCTTTAAAATATTACATGAATAACTAAATTGAATCAAAATATGTAGAATTAAAATAGTGTAGAACAAAACTAAATTACTCATAAATAAAAGAGTCCACTGTGGCAATTTGGCAAGGGAGGAGAAAAGGGAGGGGAAAAAAAAAATCAAACCGGTATTTTTGAATGATTCTTTCCCATCTGTTATCTGTGTAGCTGACTGGCAGGTTCTCACACCTTCATAAGTGGTTTGTGCAACACTGTTAGTAGAGTTTTCAGTTGTAATTTTCTTTTCAAGGACAATGGTATGTGTTAAGAACAGAGAAAGACCCACAGGTCCCCAGTTTTTAAGCAATAGAAGTGTTCTACTGCTAGCCTGAAAAAAAAAAAAATTGAGAAATTTAATTTTATGAAGAAAGTTGGGTGAATAATTTAGTTGTATGCCTTCAATGAGTACCTTCAATTACAGTGTACAGCTGTGCATACCCTCCTTTCTGAAGAACTGCAAAGTTTTTTAAATCCTCTCTAAATGTGGTATTCTCGTACTGTTACAAAATTCAGTTCTGGAATATTCTGCCCCTTATATCTCTGGGATTTATAAGTTAAAGGGATGGTTATTAAATGTCATCACAAGCCTCTTAGTGGACAAAAAGCTAATGGAATGGTAGCATGATATGAATGCCTGAACCTGCCTCCTGTGTTCTGCTGTGCGGGAGAATAATTGGCTTTCAGTCATGTAAACTAGTCACAGACACTCAGACCCTTTGAACTCTAATAAGAAATGCACACTTACTTTAAATAGCGAGTGACTAAGCATATAAATGTCTTGATCAAGTCATCGGGGAAAAAAAAAACAACAAACCAAAACTGAAAAGGAGTTTTCTGTTTACATTTTGTTATTTCTGTCTGAAATCTTTATTTTACTCTCTGCATCTTTGCCGTGTTAAGCTCCCCGCTGAGAAGGACAGACTGGAAACACAGTAGGGATCTTTGCCTTTTAAGTTGCTCTTTGCTTTGCAGAGGACTACATGTTGGAAGTTCCGGTGTATTTGTCCAGTGTTTTGTTTGGTATAAGAGGAACATGACAATTTAAGAAAGGCAGGAAACTATTATTTGGTAATTTTAGCTGCATTTCTATTGCAAGTACTAGAAAAAGAGGACAGAAGTTTAAATGTCTTAAGGTACACGCATACGAATCCACTCAGCTTTTCTGTGCTTTGGTCAGAAAATTCTGAAACAACCTTGGATGAAGGTATAAAAGGATAATTTTGAGTTTAATTTGCCACAGCTATGAATTCACAGGTCATGTTTATCTACACTGCTTCTCCAACATTCTTTTTGTTGTCTTTTCTAAATAGCTTGTATAATAGCTACTGTGGCACAATCATGCTATAGCATATTTTATAAGCAGGACTAGATTTTCTTCTAATGCAAACTTGTGCCCCTTTGTCAGAATCAAAGGCTACAAGCTTTGCATGCTAATTGGCTCTGCCAAATAATTTAGCTTCCATCCACTGGTTGTTTTTTTTTTTTTCAGCACAACAAAACAACAAACTCTAAATGTTATGGCAATTTTAAGCATATTTTTCTTAAAAAAACAATATATTGATAGAGTAATAGAAACACTGAATTTCCTATTGGTGTGATCCACTGTTGATTTACGTAATTCATCAGCTTTAATCTACTGTTGTCTTAAGTATTGCTGCATTTATTTTTTTCTCTGTTGCTTAAAATAATCAGACTAATATGACTTGTGTTGCTTTAGCAACACCATGGGTCCAGTCCAAAGGCTGTTAAAGTCAAAGGTACTCCTCATTGACTTAGTGAGCTTTGGATAAAGTTCATTGTTTTCATGCTCTTTCCATCAGTGCAGTATCAGACAACTGAAATAACTGTTCCAAATATCAGTGTCTTTTGATACTTTGCGCTTCTGTTCTGAGAAAATATCCAAGCAAATATGAGTGTAACCAAAGTAAATTCTCTCCTTCTGAATACAGAATGACTATTTAACTAGCTTTAATATTTTGATACCCAGTACAAATTTTCCCCCGCTGTCCCTTTCTTTTGCATACAGGTGGTGGCTTAAGAAGGTTAGACTGTCTGTTAGGGTTGGAAGGCAAAAAAAAATGGAGTTAAATAGTCTGGTTGAAAATACCTCTGCTTTATTAGAAGGTTCTGGAGAACTTTTTGTGTTTTGTTTTGCATGTTGACAGTGTTTGTAGGTTTGCCTGTAACCTCAGTGCTGAAACTGAGTCTTAATCTGTTTTCAGTTTTAGTGTTGTCTGGTCCGCACTTCCCTCTTCCTCATTCCCTCAGTTCTCACAGTTTATACATTCTTAAGCTGGCTGTCTAGGTTGCAGTGCTCTGCTTGCAAGTCTAATGGCAGGTTTGTTTTGTGTGTATTTCTGCCTTGGGGAACCATGGCAGTAGATTCAAGAAGTATTTCTAAACATCAGTGTTGTAACCCAACACATTTTTTAATTTCATGGGTTCACAGTGGGCATACCAAAGCAAGAAATTCTCTTAGATGCATATTTTCTATTGTCTACCTTTTGTCTTCTTCTTGAAAGTTTCAATAAGTTAATTTCAATCTACTTATCTCTTTATGTGAAACAGGGCGAACAATTGAGCAGTTTGTGCTGTCTGCTCTCCTCCTCTTTCTTTGTGTTCCTACGAGAGCCATCTTTTAAACAAATGTTCATGCCTCATTCTTTCCTTAGGATCAGGGTTTGCTTCTGGGTTACAGCTTCTTTGGGTTTCTGAGATCAGGGAAGAATAAATTTTGCTCCAAACCAACTTGTTCAGATACCATAAACACTTCAGTGGCCTTAGAGCAGATCTCAACAGAGTTTTCCTTTTGTTTAGGCATATTGCAGGCATCCAGATATTTCACACCATTATTGTACTTTTCTTTGGTGAAAAACAGATGCTTCTTGTATTTATGTGGCCCGCTGTTTTAAAATATTGTACTGCCAGCTGCTGAGGTACATACAGTATACACTTGAACTCATAAAAATGCCACAAAATCATTAACAGCATCATATGAAGAAAAAGATATTGTGAGCTTATCTTGCTTGAGCCAGCATAGCAGAATGGGCAGTTTAGATGTTTACAGAAATGTGTACCTCACATGACAGAAACAAAAAGAGATCAGGATAGAAGTCCATGCAAATCTAAATCTTCATTTGTTTTGCTCTGCTTTAGCGTGTGGCCGTGGGTTCTACAAATCCTCCTCACAAGACCTGCAGTGCTCCCGCTGCCCTACTCACAGCTTCTCTGACAAGGAAGGATCCTCCAGATGCGACTGTGAAGATAGCTATTATAGAGCACCTTCTGATCCACCATATGTCGCATGCACAAGTGAGTGAGTCATGAATTTAATAGTAAAGGACGTTGCTTAACCAACCAGGTGCAGCCACTTGCAGCGAGTAGTTTTGTCTGGCTTTTTGTGTGTTTGAAAAGTACATTTGCAATGGTAAAAGAAATTGAAAGGCAGAGGGAAAAAGGGTTGACAGTGAATACAGAATCAGCATAAATATAATTTTCAAGTTTGCTTGATACAGCATTGGAAAACATTGCATGTTGCATAAGTGCATAACTCACTGTAATAGATACAGCACAGGCCCAGTTCTCCCTAAATTGTTGTAGACAAATGTGCATTATGTGATATAATACCAAAATTAGTAATGTAAAAAATGAAAAGTAACCTCTGTGGAGCTGCACTTTGATTGAATGGTAATTGGATCTGACTTAACCTAACTGCAAATAGATTGGCCTACACAGATTCGTGGTTCAAACAGTGGAGTCTCCTAAGTCTGAAACATCACTAAAAATCTGTAAATCATATCAGAGCTTATAACAAAAGAATAGATGCATCTTGTGCATTTAGTAGAGATGAACAAATCCCATTTTTGGAAAACCTGTAAAAGAGAACTTTTAAGGTATATTAACCATTCCTTTTAATTACACAGAAGAGAAACAGCTAAAATCAGTTGCAGTAAATATACAGACAATTGTTATTCTGATGTCTTAATGGAAAATAAATAAAGCTCTTACCAAATGAGTTCAAGAAAGCTTTTATGCAGCCTGTACTAAAAATAATGAAATGTTTATGTGAAGAAAAATGCTTCAACTGTTTTCTGTCTCAGTAATTAAAATGCTACCTGTGTGTCCCATTCTGGTTTTGTGTAATTACCCTGGACTTCTTTGTGTTTTATGTAGGACCTCCATCTGCACCACAGAATCTAATTTTCAATATCAACCAGACTACTGTGAGTTTGGAGTGGAGTCCTCCTGCTGACAACGGGGGAAGAAGTGATGTGACCTACCGCATTTTGTGCAAGAGGTGCAGCTGGGAGCAGGGCGAGTGCGTTCCCTGTGGGAGTAACATTGGATATATGCCCCAGCAAACTGGATTAGTAGATAACTATGTCACTGTCATGGACCTGCTAGCTCATGCTAACTACACGTTTGAAGTTGAAGCTGTGAATGGGGTTTCTGACTTGAGTCGTTCCCAGAGGCTTTTTGCAGCTGTCAGTATTACTACCGGCCAAGCAGGTAAGTTTTCATCACTTATGAATCTCAACATTCTGAGACTGAGAGAAATTTGGAACATGCAAACTATAGATGCAATAAATCAGGAGCATGTTTGGTGTGTTCTGGCTCATTAATCTTTTCACCTTGCCAGCTATTTAATTTGAGGTTATACTGTTTCAGGATAACCTGACCTGTTTCTTGGCCTCAGGATTGCTTTCAGAAAGCGTTCACAAAAGACTTAAAGAAGATGCGCAGCTTTGCTATTAAATAGAATTTCCTAACTTAGGAACTTTTTTTGCTGTTATTGTTCTTACTTCATTATAGTTAATTCCCTAGTATTTGAAGGTAAAAAAATAGATGTGACAGTTCTATGTAGACTTCTTTTTCAAATTTTTTAAACACATATGGGAGTCCTAGGTCACTGGAAGATGATTCGGATTTCTGATAGTGTTTTCAGTGTTGATGTTTTCCCTCAGGATAATATTTCTGATTTATCTTATATTTCCAGATATTTGATTATGAGATGCAATGAGAATGTGATGATTATTCTTTGTTTCTTCTATTTATCATAATCTGACAGGTGAAATGTCAGGGGAAATAAAATCAAACCAGCATATCACCCCAGGGAAAAAAAGGGCTTTAGTTGTCTGCAGCTGAATGAAAAAAAAGAATTCTCAGATTTAGGTTACTGAACTGGTGAGTTGCTTGTTGATAAAATTACAGGCAATGGTGTGCTGTGGTCTTAAAGACAGGGTAATAAAGCTAACCTTTTGTAATTTGGATAATCTTAAACTGAATATTATTTGCAAGATCTGGCTTTTGAAGAAATGCTGTAAAGTAATAAAGTCAAATAAGTATAAACTCAGTAACTGATGTGATGCTTCCTGTAACAACAGCTGACTAGTATTTTAAAAGATACTTTATACTTATATCTTGGAGGAAATTTCAGTGACTGTGAATCATGCTTGCTTTTTTTTTTCTTTTTTTTTTTTTTAAGTGCAGTAGAAATGATCCCCTTAAAGTAATGTTTTGAACTAAGAACAAACTCACCAAATAGGTTAAACGAACAAACAGGAAAAACTGTAGTCATTTTGTACTTTAAAGATAGTCATCTGAAAAAAAAAAAAAGGACAAGAGATTTAGTTCAAAACCTTTCCTCCCTCCCCCCAAGTTTAGGACAGTTGATATGGTTGTTAAAGTTAGGCTGCAGTATTTATGGGATATCTAATCTCCCTATAGTGCTCTCATGGATTCCAAATGCGCATTTAATATTATTTTGGATCCATCTCTGTGGCTGAAAGTATTGGTCTCTGTGTTCATTCAGTTCTTGAAGTTTATGATGAGATTTTAAGCACAGAAAACTTACCCTGAAACTATTTTTGCACCACAGATGATATTACTTTGACACCTTGATTTTTCATCTTCAGAATAATTCTCTAAATATGCACAGGTGGACAGTGTTCTGCTCTCTGTAGATGGCTGTACAGAACTATCACATGAAGAAGAGGATTTGGACTTTTTCCCGTTTAGTGGAATCAAATTGGCTTTACTTTATGTGCTTTGATGGTTCAGTGGCACACAGGGTAAAGGAAGAAACAGTGCAATTTAGCGGCTAGTATCACATCTTAGGAAGATGAAAAAGCCTTAATCAGAAGTTTGTTGTGTTTTCCCCAAGATAACACATTATAGTTCATTATTTGTGTTGTCATAGTCATGGATTTACAAGGCTTTTATTAGGCCAGAAGATAAAATATGGTTATCCTGTGCTATCTTATAAGTAACACAAGCTATGTGATTTTATGAAATGATCCTCACATCAAGCCCGGAGATGTTAATGAAACTATAGCTGGCTCTGTAGTTTTTATAGCTCTAATATAACTATATTAGAGACAAATCTAGACTGTACTAAAGATTTAAATTAATCAAAAAATCTTCAGCCTCATAGACAAGCTTTGTAAAACCATGAAGCAGGAGATCTGACTCTGTTCCTTCCCTCCTCTCCAGTTTACTGTGGGATTATGCACAGACCAGCATTTCCCAAGATTTGACACTGCTTAGAGAAAGCGTACAACTGAAGCTTTGCCTGTTTAGCACTTCTGAATATAAAGACTTAAAGGATTCCAATTATTTGGCATCTAAAAGGAATATACGTAGGGGACAGATCTGGGGGAAAAAAAAAAAAAAAAAAAAAGGCTTTAAGCTCTTTGTTGCAGTTTTCTCTGTAAAATGAAGGTAACCTTCACTTTTCCTTACCAAACTCTTCAAGATTTTTTGATTAGAAGTGCCACATAAATGCAGCTATTTTTTTTTTTTTTCACAGAATTACAAAATTTGCGTTAAAGAAAATACAGACGTTCAGAAAAAAATGCATTTAGCAAAAGGAAAGACCTCTTCTACTTTATTTTTGCAACAGCATGTTTTGGATCCTAATACTGATTTCTTTGGTTTCTTAAGGAGGAAAATATTTTAGGTGGAACAGATTGATGACTATAATTGAACAGAAAGAGACTGGTTGCTCAAAGGAGACTGTAATGCTTCTGTGTTTCTCTTTTATTTTACCATGGAGAGAAAGAAAATGTTGGATTTATTTATAGCCAAGTAAACTAGGATTCATGCAGCTCTCATTTGTTCCTGTGTGACTGTTCTATACTTCTGGCAAAACTGACTTTTTCTATGCCCATATTGCTTTTTATGTGTGTAAATGTGTCTAACTAAACCTTCTTCACATGTTATTATGCTAACACAATAGGTGGCTATATATAATTACTGGGTTCACCAGTTGCACAGAGGATTGCAATGAGGTTTTCCCTTTGTAGTTTTGGTTTAATTGAATTGTTCCTTTGTGGCTGTAGTCACAAAATTCAAATCATTGTGTAATGATAACAGGAAATTATTGATAAAAGAATGGGGTTATAGAATATATTCAGTGTTTCTTCACCCACATGTAACAAGCTTCTGATGAGACAAAGAGATCATGCCACATAAAAGAGCCAGGTGGTAGATAAAAAACTATTTATATTTGTAGAAATAACACAATAAAATGACTGCAAGTGGGTACATTACACATCACTTATATATATATACATGTATGACACGTTGCTATTCATTCCTTGTTTTAAAAATACTTTGTGACTAGGCTATCAGTTGTCATATGGCATATTTTTATGCCTCAGCCAAGAACCATGAGGCTTTTGGTTTTCCTTTGTTTTCTTTTTTTTGACAAGATTAAGTACACTAAGTGCCCCAGGAGTAAACCATCTTGTTTCATATCTTGCCTATCCAGCATCATATAAAGAATACAGGATGTCATCCCAGTACTGCAGGCTGATCTATGATGAGAACCTCGGCATCCTTGTAGAATTCAGATTTGAATGGGACTAAGCTCTCATTACAATAAACAAATGTACTAAAGAACTGCACTTGGTGAACAGCCAACAAGCACTGCCTATGCAAGCTTATTGAATGGGTTTTTACCAAAGATGAAACTGACCACTTCCCTAGTAAGATTCCCCTTTCAGTTGTACTGGTCATTCATTTTAATCCATCAAATTCCTTCCCAAGTTTTACTTTTTTTCCATACAACACCCAGAAGATGAATGGAAATTGGGTAGCTTTCACTGCTGATGAATATTTGTTGTATTTCAGCATTCATGCTTTTGCATTTTACAAAATATGCTTCAGTAACAATTTTATAATTTTTCTGTTGACATTTTTGCAAAGCTAGTATGTTTTTAAAACTGTGTTTCTGCATCCTTTCCTCTAGAACCTTACCTGAATGAACAATGGACTTACCTCTGGTAAAGGGTTATATACACCCAACCTACCCTTGCCTTGATAAAACTTAGGATATTTTAAGTGAATACCAAAATTTATCAGGGTTTGAGAAAATTTAAGATTGTGTCCTGAGCCAGTTTATATTGTCTTTATAGTCATTGAAAAGAAAAAATCATATCCAAGGGGACACTCATCATGCCTTATTACCATAAGTAAGACAAACAGAAGTTAAAATGTAATGCCAATAACTGTCCTTAAATGTACTCATTGCTCTTGTGCAGGGAGCACTTGCTAATGCTTGCTGCTTCTTCACAGCAAGAGAAAGGTGCCCCATAGCACTCTTAGGTCATGCTGTGCCTTCAGATGCACTTAATGCTGACAACTTCAAGTGGTTAAAAAACCCTGATTCAGTTCCCTAATCAAGGCTTACTCTTGAAAAACATTCTTTTTTAGTAACAATTTCCTTTGTATGTGTTGATTTGCTGCTATTCCATTTTTACATCTTAGAGTTCAATTTTAAGACCTTTTTCCTACAAAAAAAAGCAGATCCCAAATTTCACAGTTAAAAAAAAAATAAAGGAAGCCGAATTCTTCAAATTGGCATTATCCCAGCAACTTGAACTGTAAAAACCATTACATGCTTTAAATCATGACTACTAGCAGCAGCACCGTTGATTTACATGACAAGAAGAAATGGCTGAATGCATAAATGCAAATCTGTGGGATGGGTTCTGCCTTTCTTAGGTAATTCTGCAGTCTTTCTAAATGAGAGGGACACTTCACATTCTCTCATGTTACATTCTCCTTTCGTTCTTGCTGCTTAAAATTTTTCTTTTCTTCTTTACACTTTTTTCCCCAGCTCTCAATTATCCCTACTCATTTTTTAAAGTCTCTTCTTTCATATCCTCTACTACTCACCATCTATTTGTTTCCTGTTCCCTGTCAGTCTCACTTAAGCCTGACTTTTCTTCAGCAATGAACTGTCCCCCAGCAGAGGCAGCAATCAAGAAGATTGATGCCTGCGGCTTTCCCAGTCACTATGACCTCAGTGTTCTAGTCTATTCTCACTTCCCTCCTTTCCCCAGGCCATTTTGGTTTCTTCCCATACTGCCACCAAGTTGTTTTAATCTACCTTCGTCTGCATCTTCCATCCAATGTTCACTTCTGGTGCTACATGACAGCTTATTACAAATAGCTTCAGTGTTCAACTTAACATTTCTTCAATGTTTTCCCATTTCAGTGGACTT